ACAAGTGTGTGACTTTTTGAACTCTCGACTGTTTTCCATGGAAGGTGCACCCTTTTAGATTTTTAAGAGTAGTGACTTGTTCCTGATCTTAGTAGAACAGCTTTTGACTTTGAACCCTGACTGCTGTTATGTACATATATATGGCTGTTAATGTGTTGATGAAGTTCCCTTCCAATCCTTGTTTACTGAGTTTTTTTTATTATGGGAGTATTGATGGGGTTTTTTGTAATGTTTATCAGTTAAGATAATCATTTAGTTTTTTTTTTCATCCTGCTTATGTGCCTTGATTCATTTTCATATGCTAAATCACTGATATTTCTAGTGAAAAATCTCATTTGGCTTATGGCACATACAGGTTGAGTATCCATTTTTGAAATGATTGGGACCAGAATTGCTTCAGATTTTATAAAATTTGGCATTTTGGAAAATTTGCACAGGCTCTACAAGTTGGGTATCCCAAATCCAAAACTCTGTAATGCTCCAAAATTCAAACCTTTTTGAGCAAACATCAATACCTTGAGGTGCCAAAAACATCATCAAGTGATGCAGAACCTGTAATCATTTTAACAGTACTGATATACTCAGTTTGCTAGTATTGTATTAAGGATTATTGTTGATATGTATAGAATTTTAGTCTGTGGTGCTCTTTCATTGTAGTAGATTCATCCAGCTTTGTTAGCAAGGCATTGCTGCCATCATAGAATAATTTAAGGAAGTGTTCTCCCCTCTTCAAGTTATTGGAACAGTTTGAGTATTAGCATTAATTATTTAAGTTCTTGTTAGAATTCACCAGTGATGCTGGATGTGGGGCTGCACCCCTAGCTGTCTCAATCCCAGCACTCCAGGTTGAGACAGGAGGATCACAAGTTCTAGGCTAGCATAGGCTACTTAAGGAGACCCAGTCTCAAAAGTTGATCTGGCTCTAAACTTTTATTTTATTGAGCAATTTTGAATACTGATAAAAATCTCTTGTTATTGTACTAGGCAGTAGTTCTTAAGTCCATTTTTGTATAGTCCTGCGTCTGTAAAATTTGTTCATTTTGAATTGGGTTACCTAGTTTGTTGGCAAAGTATTCGCTTATAACACTTTCTGTTACTCTGTATTCAGTAGTAATGTTTCTACTTTCATTTCTGACTTTAGAAATTTAAGTCCCACCTCCACCAAACTAGCTCATTTCATCAATTTTGATCTAATAACATAAGCATTTTTAAAATTTTTTTTCCTTTGTTAATCCATACTCTGTAATATTCCTTCTACCATTTTTAGGTTTCCTTTTCTTTTTGTTACTTGAATTACACAGTTCAGTTATTGATTTGAGATTTCTCTTCCAAGTTTAGCAGTTCAAGCTATAATTCTCTCCCTCAGCATGTTTTTATCTCAAGAATATTCCAATGTCTGCTGAGATTTCTTCTGATTTTCATTATTTGTATTGCTGACTTTTCACATTGTGAGTTTTCTTTGACTTCTTATTACTTCCTAGTTTCAAATCATTGTGGTTTTTATGACTTCAGGTTTTCAAAAATTATTAAGCTTTATTTTATTACCTAGCATATGGTGTATGGTGTATCATATGTCTGTACAATGTTTTTTTTTGGGGGGGGGGTGTCCGGTCTTGGGGCCTGAACTCTGGGCCTGGGCGCTGTCCCTCAGCTCTTCAGCTCAAGGCTAGCGCTCTACCACTTGAGCCACAGTGCCACTTCTGGCTTTTTTCTTTTTGCTTATGTGGTGCTGAGGAATCGACCCCAGGGCCTCAGGCATACAAGGCAAGTGCTCTACCACTGAGCCACCTTCCCAGCCCCCTGTACAATGTTTTCTATATACTTGAGAGAAGGTCTCATTCTGAGTAGTGTATTGAGTAGAGTATTTGTACTGGTCAGATTGGTTTAGTGTTCAATTCTCCAATGCATTGATTCATCTTTTTTGTCTGGTTCTTCTGTCCATTATTGAAGGTAATTTCAGTCACTTTCTAATTGATATTACAGAATTATTTCTCCATTTATTTGTCAGTGTGTACTTCAGATCTTTTGAAGGCTTTGAAATTGCGTACATGTTCAGAGTTGCTAGATTCAAAGTGAGTGTGTGTGTGTTTTGTTGATAAAAGTCAAGCCCCTGGACTTGCATGTTTGACAAGGGCTCTGTCACTGAACCCTATCATCAGTCACTGGATTCATTATGAATATGAAAACCCATCATCTAAGTTTTTTTTTCTCCTAGCTCAGTCTAATTTATGTGGTAAAAATATGGCCATCCCTTTAATTATTTCTACTGTCATAGATTCTACTTTTAAATGTTCTAATAATTCCTAAATCAGTTCTTCTTAACTACATGTTCATCCCTATCAAAATGTTAAGTAGAAATATAAGTTCATGAGCAGGCTTCTGAAAATTTTGTATACCCCTACGTTGTAAACTTAAAATCTGCAAAGTTAGCAGGGCACCAATGGCTCACGCCTATAATCCTAGCAGGAGCCTTAGAACTGAGGATTGCGGTTCAAAGCCAGACTGGACAGGAACACCCGTGAGACTCTTATCTCCAATTAACCACCAGAAAACCGGAATTGGCTGTGTGGCTGAAGTGTTAGGGTACTTACCTTGAGCTGAAGGGACAGTGCCCAGGCCTAGAGTTCAAGGCCCACAACCAACCCCCCTCCAAAAAAAAAAAAAACCTGCAAAGTTTTCTGTGCATAAAACCCTAGGAAAGGTGGTTTTTATCACGTTCAGTCTGAACTGACATTTGGTTCCAATTTGGGGTCACAGTAGTTACCCTCACTAAGCATCATTCTTAGATGAAATCAATACTTTCCATTACTGACAGAAAAACTATTGACGTTTCCCATTTTCTATCAGCCTATAACAGGAAGGATATGACCAAGTTACTGATTATAAAGATTTTTTTTTCTTTTGTCTACTCTGGGGCTTGAACTCAGGGCCTGGGGGTTGTCCTGTCCTGTCCCCACTGAAAGGCTAGCACTCTACCACCTTGAGCCATAGCACCACTTCTGGTTTTCTAGTGGTTAATTGCAGATAAGAGTCTCATGGACTTTCTGCGTAGCCTGACTTTTAACAACAATCCTCAGATCTCAGCCTTCTGAGTATCTAGGATTACAGGCATAAGCTACCAATGCCCAGCTTTATAAAGCTCTTTAGAAAAGAATTTGTGACATTTTTAACCTGTGATAATTAGGGGGAACTTTTCACTGGTGGCTTCTCCCAGAGATGAGGGGGGAAAAAAACCCAAACATTTATTGGAAGGCTACCACTTCCAAGACAGTAACTAGACCTTAGTTTTTGAGGGTGTGTATGGAGGCTAGGTGTTTATAGGTATATGTATGTACAAGTTTGCACAGGAAGACAAAGCCAAAAAGAAGAGACTAGGAGTCAGGATGGCCATATCCATTGTTTGTCCATTAGCTCTACCACAATGGGTGTAGAAATGCGTGGGACCAATGTAAAGATAACCATGAAGATGTAGGTGGTGAACATCTGATCTACCTGCAGCATGTCCCAGCAAGCAAGGAAAATTTAGCCTCCCAAGGATGGCTCCAGTGGGCTCTGGTTGATCATGGAATTCTTCCCAGACTCCAGACTTTCTAGGATTTTTTAATTCTGTAGAAACAGAGGAGCCACAAAGGCTTCCACTATTTCTGCAGCTGTACTGAACATAACTGTATTCATACAGCCTTCACCTTGTTCTTCCTTAATGCATGTGTGTTATGCCACTGAGGCTGTCAAGTAATGAATGAATAATATGATGCTGTTGTGGAACATATACTTATCTCTGGATGATCTTCCCACACCATTTCTTTCCACAAACATTGAAAATCACTAAGAGATTGCTTTGGGGTCTCAGTCCAGCTGTTGTGTTCTGCAAGATCCTAGCCAGTCACTACATTATTAATCAATTAGCTGGACATTTCTGGTTCTGTTTGAATTCATGCTCTGGTGCTATTTTCTACATTGATCTCTCATGATGATTTACAGATTTGTTCTCAGGGTAAATTCAACCATACTGATTATGGATTTACTCAAATGTTTCTTCTCTCCCTTTTTTTTTTTTTTTGATTGGTCGTGGGGCTTGAACTCTAGGCCTGGGCGCTATCCCTAAGCTCTTTAGCTCAAGGTGAGTGCTCTACCACTTGAGCCACAGAGTTTTCTGGTGGTTAATAGGAGATAAGAGTCTCACAGACTTTTCTACCCGGGTTGGCTTTGAACAACAATCCTCAGATCTCAGCCTCCTGAGTAGCTAGGATTACAGGCATGAGCCACCAGCACCCAGCACTCTGCTATTTTTGAAACAAGTGTCCTCTTTCCATGCTCTTTTTTTCTTCTGTACCTTGTTTTGATATTCTTATTCTTTGTTGTCTCAATTGAATTATTTCTCCAGGACTCCCCCTGCCTGCAGCCCACTCTGTCACAGGCTAGATTGTGTGTCCTACTATATTTTACTTCCTTTTTCAATAAGCAAATTACTTCCTTCCATGTCTACAAGTAATGTTAGACCACATATGACTATGAATCATCTGTACCCATTATGGCACAGTAGTAGTATGTCAGTCATGATTTCTATAATCGCTTTGGTATCACACACACACACACACACACACAGAGTTTTTCTGTTGTTAACTTCCATGGAAACTGCATTGAGCTCTCCATGAAAACCAGAGTCAGATTAGTCTGGAAGACTAGGAAGAATAACCAGCAAAACAGCCAAAAGGACAATAGTGATCTGCTTTTCCTTTTCTCCTTACTTCCCCTTTCTCAGTCCAGAATAGTGGATAAAACTTAAGATTGAGAAGAACAAGGAACCACTTTTCAAACCTATTTTATCCCTTTCCCCCCTTTCTATCTCAACAGTTATATTCATTTCTGTATTTAAAATATCTTTTGATGCTCCATATTTCAGAGTAGGCAACAAGACATATTTTCCAGTTTGTTTCTATATGGAAACGTGGAGTTTGGATCATTCCAAGTAAATGGAAGTAAACCAACTCACGTGGCTCTAAATTCCTTTTATCACAAAGTATTTATTAAACAAAAATAATATCACAGTATAAATTGTACATGTATGAAAGAGAATGAAGATTTGCAGTCATAGAAAAAGTCTGTACACAGACCAGCATTCAGGATATATAGTTTGAACAAACCCCAGGCATTGCAGCTTAACACAGACAAGCAGACATAAAAAAGGGTGGGAGGGGGACTAATGTTCTTTGTAACATTTTCTGACTAAAATACTTGTTACATATACACACATGCACAGGAGGCAGAGCTAGCAGTTCTTTGTGACTCCACATTACAGTTGGGTAGTAACGTTGAACCCTACAGTATTTTGTGGCATTTTTCTGTCTAATACTGTATATGGAGTAGACAATCACAGTATTTGCAGGAAAAGAAGAAGATTTATAGTCATTTGAACATTTTCAATTGACATTTTAAACTATGTACTGGCAATATTTTATTGAAATTCTTGCACGTTAACTTTTATAAGATTCTTGCATTTTGAACAAGTGCTTAAATGACAACAGTTTCCAATACATCATCTTTACCTGTTTCTTTACCTAACACACAGTCTTGGACCAATAGTCACTCTTAATTAGGGGAAGCAGGATTGGACAGTGAGCTGTGTGGCACTGGACTCCTCCCAGCTTCACCCTATGCGTGGTATACCAGGGAGCTAGAGGAAAGCATTTTCAGAAGCCCTTTTGGGCTTGTGAATTTGTGCTCAGTAACAGTTCCCTGAACCAGCTCTTTTTATTTTAGTACAGAATTATCCTTAGTCTACAAGGAATTGAGAGGAGCACGTATTTGTGGTGTTTTGGAGCCAGGACTGTTATTTGGTAAAGGCTTAATGGAGTTTTTGTTTTCTCCCCTCAGTAAAGGCCCATACCCCTCCCCCCCCATACAATTCCTATTAAAAGTCTCAATTCATATCTAAACATAATTTTAGATGTTGTTCCAAGTTCAAGATACTAGCTTTTACAAGCTTTGTATTTTACCTGTCTTCATAACCCCCACCATTTAATGTCTTATTTGGGCCAATTATTTAGTAACATTTCAAGTTGGTTTCTGGTACTTACAAAGATCACCATAAACCTAATTATGATTAACCTAATCTTAAAGTTATAGCACTCTGTAGTTCACTTTGTCTTGATGCTTCTGGAGTCATGCCTACTGGCTTTTTTTTTTTTTTTGAGAACAGAAAACACCAGTTACTAGGATTATAAACCACAAATGGATTCACTGCAGTGTTTCTTTCCATTGATACATAATGAATTCAGTTCCTCAATGAGGAAGTTCCTGAAGAATTTTTATCAGCTTTCCTTCATTGTCACCGTAAGTTTAGTAATATATATAAAACAGTGCATCTCTGTTTCCTCATGCAGGACTTACAGTATTTGTGTTATGGGACATTTTCTGATTCATTAAAAAAAACTGCTTATGGGCCCAACGATGTCAGGGTGTTACAAAAGATGTCTGGTGTTAACAAAATTAATTTGTCGAGGCTGAGTATCTTCCAAACGTTTAGATTTTCAAGTGTTAATTACAGTTCCTAGATTTTAGGAAAACCCTAACTCCTACAGGAAATACATATGGGTGCGAGTATGGAAAATAGGACTAAAGTTTTGAACTATTCAAAACTAGGAAATATTCTCCAGCTTTGGGTGGTGTGAGGTTGATGGAGCTTTCTGCGTGTCACTTTTTCTTAGGATGAGAGCTGTTAAGAGACTAGCCTTTCAATGTTCATCTCTATTAAAATAAATGCACTTTAGAACATTTTCTTTGATGAATGTTTATTGACTAAATATGGCTTAGATTTTTTTCTTATAAAAAACATTACTCGGACATTACATTTACTGAGTTTCAGTTCAAAAGAAGTTCTAAGGCAATTCGTATATAATTGAAAGCAAAAGAGAAAGTAAGTGATACGAATATGCTTTCATATTTGGCCTACTTGTGAAAAGTAACAAAATCCTACTAGAGATGTTTGGTACTAATTTTTGTCTTTCAACATTTCCTTAAGACTAAAAAATATATAAATCATTTACATAAAACTAAATGCAAAGGAAGGCACAGCTGGTTATAGTATGTATATAAGCACGGTTCAGCATATGCAGAGTTAAAGAGAAGAAAAGCTTCACATCCTTATTAGTTACATTGAAAACATTAAGGAAAGTTCTTCACTGTCAACAGTGTTCAACACTTAAGAGCTGAGAGGATATAAAAACAAAAACATTGAGACATTTAATGCAAAACAGATTTTCATACATACTTGAATATATAAACAGATTTTTTGAATGCGAACATAATTCTAGAATATCCATGTGATGAAAAGTGCAAACCAAATTAACAGAGGGTTTCACGATGTCTTCACGACAGGTAATTGAGCCCATGGGGACAAATTTGTTTCTTCAGTTTACGAGTCCTTAGTTGTGTCCAGATGTCATCAGGACTTCTGAGAGCTTGAGGAAAGCAGTACTGGGGAAGCAGCTCTGTCCAAACTGGGGATTGGCACCGGCATGTGGCCATTAAGCAGTGTGGGGAACTGTAGGGGACAGAAGGGTTTGTAAACAATGAGTACAGATCCACCGGGAAGAACAGAGATGGCAGCAGTCCAGTCTTCTCCTCACCCTGTGATGGAGGTCAGTTACTAATCTGACCATGACATTGCTATTAGAAGCTTACCTGGGGCAAACTAAAGCCTAGGAAAATGTCCCAATTATAGTACATACCTAGGCTAGGAAAATGAAAATGGAATTTAGGTGTTACGAATGCATGTTTTAATACTATGTTTAGGAAGTTCTAAGCCATAAGCTTTAAATGTTGAAGAAAACAAAAACAAAAAAACTTAAGAAACCAAGACAAGAGACTTGGCAGTTGTTAATGCTGTACTATGGAAATTCACTGTCAGTTTTCTATACACTGCAGAGAATTACCTGGTAATTGTTTAAAATGAGGAATGCTTTTCCTTTAAAAGAAAATTTAGAGGAGGAAGAACGTATTTTGGAGATGAGAAAGTATTCTTTCTTGAATAAACTCATAAATGTCAGAGTAGAGTTGGTTTCTGTGTTGCTATAACTAAGACAGATAAAAGACTTGAAAGTTACTCTTTGAAAACAAGCTTCAAGTCTGAAGCAGATACATCAGGCGCACTCCTGACTGCCCAGAAGTAAGTAAAGGCCTCCCTTAAATATTTGACTTCTCCCTAGATTTTCCATTGCTTAGCATGTGTCAAAATGATCTTAAGCTGTCTTCCAGTTTAATCCCTGTTTAGTCCAGGAAAGCTAAATATTAACCTTCAGCACCAAATTTCAAATTACAGGACCTGGCACACATCAGAAGTACAATAAATATTTGCAGAACAAGTAACCATTTTTACAACTTTCAAACTTATTTTCAGAATTTATGTGTTCTGCCTTTTGCTTATCAAGGGTGTCTTTTCATTTGGTATCTAGAGGCCACAGAACAAGTTTTTGTTATCTTCCTTTTACAGATGAAAAAATGGTTCCCTGATTAACTGAGGTCACAGCTAATATACAGCAAGTTTTAAACTCTGAATCTTTACTAAACAGCCCAACTTCTTGTTTTGTCAGGTTTAGGGGTCTTTGATTATTGCTTCACTTTCTTAATACTTAAGGTGCTTTTTTTTTCCTTGGGATTCTGACATTTTAATTTTCCCCTGCATTTTATCTACTTCAATGATGTTTTCAGATCTAAGCATATATATTACACTTTTACATCAGGCCTGCTTTCTTAAACACTGTACCTACTGGCTGGGTAAACAGTGGTAGAAGACATCTTGAATTTTCATTTCTTCGGTGTAGTTGTAGCTTCTTACCCTCTCTTTTCCCTGTTTTCTTGGTGTTTTCAAAGGAGTCAGCTTTCGTTGTGTTAGCCTTTTGTGTGGAATTCCTGAACATAATACTCAAGGCCCACAGCTGCTTTCCTGACTTGTTCTTCTCACCAGGTCCCTTCCTGTGGGCTTCCATAACTGATCTTACGGGTCTATAAAGCCTCAACTATGCTCTTCTCTACTGATTCCTGTGCCCTTGCTCCAGCCCAGCCCAGCAGCCCGGGAGACACTTCTTCCTTAGGATCTCAGTCTTCTCCACTGCAGAAAGCAACTCTGGCTCTTACAGTAGAACTTCCTCACATGTGTATCTCCTCCAGCCCTGCCTTAAAACCTTGCAAATATTTGCTAGGTTGGGTTTGTTGAACTAAAAATTAACAGAGCACTTTCCCCACTGAAAACTGAATTAATCCCATCTTTTTCCCACATGTGTCTGTGCCTACTAGGTGTGTTCCAAGTTTGATCAAAATCTGCTTCAAATAGACCTAGGCTCTGGTGGCTCACACCTGTAATCCTAACCACTCAGGACGCTGAGATCTGAGGGTTGCAGTTCAGAGCCAGCCCAGGCAGGAGAGTCCATGAGACTCGTATCTCCAATTAACCACTAGAAAACCAGAAGTAGAACTGTAGTTCAAGTAATAGAGCACAGTCTTGAGCACAAAGAAGCTCAGGGAGAGTGCCCAGAACTGCTCACCCCCCCCCCAAAAAAAAAAAATGGAGTGAAATAACATGATAAATGCCAAATGCCAAACTGTCTACTTGAAGCAGATGGTTCACTTTATGTGTAAATCCATGTAATACATTTACCCTTAGCACCGTGTCTGGCATCTCATTAAAACAGCCCTTAATTCCAGAAAGGCAAAAGTGTCTTCTCCTTCCCTGAATTCTCCCAATATCTGTTGTACACTGCTAACAAATTTGTCTCAGGTAGACTATGGGTGTGAGGCACAAGCAGTAGAGTGCTTGTCTAGGAAGCACAAAGCCCTGAGTTCAAACTCCAATACTGTCAAAAAATAAAATAGTGTAAGCATACACACACATACACATACACACACAAAATACTGTAATGGGATCTGTGCAGAAACCACTAAGCTACCTCTGCAAAGGTCACCACAGGAAACCTACACATACCACTTAAAATTTGTTGTACAGAAGTCTGTTTTTTTAGTCTAGTAATATAAAGTGTATATGTAATAAAGGGGCTTATCCCCAAAGGTAATTACTTTCATTAGTTTAGAAGGCACAGAATAGTAAACTGAATTCTAAAAAATGCATCAATTGTAATGTCCAGTTTTCAAAATTAAAGTCTTATTCCACTTGGCAGGTGTGGTTGTTTACCAATTTAAAAACTGCTACCTTCATTTTTTTTAACCACAAACTGCTCTTTTTAATAGGAAGGGTAATGATATTTTAAAAGCACAAATTTGTTTTCTCTGTCTCATGGTTCCAACCACAAAATAATGGCACAAGGCCATGCAACCTGCCAGCCATCTAAACTGGTTTGTACTTTATTTATTTATTTTTAGGGTTGTCTTTGGAATGGCTCCAGGAGGGAGAAATTAAAACTGAAACTCTAAGCAGATGGCCTTTAAACACAGTAATTCATTCCACAGTACCTTCACTTTCTCAAAGAGCATCACAGGAACTTGAACGAAATGTTTTTATTGGTGGTGGTAATGGCATTTAATTAAACTCAAGGCCTCATGAGTATGAGAAGTGTGAGGCTGCAAGTTGCTCTACAACATCAACCATGCCCCCAACCCTTTCTGTTTTTGTTTTTAATATTTTTCAGGTAGGGCATTGTAGGGTGTGTGTGTGTGTGTGTGTGTGTGTGTGTGTGTGTGTGTGTGTGTGTGTGTGTGTGTGTGTGTGTGTGTGTGTGTGTGTGTGTGTGTGTGTGTGTGTGTGTGTGTGTGTGTGTGTGTGTGTGTGTGTGTGTGTGTGTGTGTGTGTGTGTGTGTGTTTTATAACCCAGGCAGGACTGCACTGCAACCCTCTTATAGCTCCTGTGTAGCTGGGTTGACAGGTGGGTGTGTATCAGCACATTCAGCTTACTGGTCAAAATAGGGTCTCACTAATGGTCAAAATAGGGTCTCACTAACTTTTTGTTCAGGCTGGCCTTAAACCTTAGTCCTCAATTTCCACTTCCCATGTACCTCGGATTGCTGGCGTAAGCCACTGCACCTGCCAACTGCCAGGACCTCTTGCACACTAGCAAGTTTGCTCTACCACTTGAGCTATACCCCAAGCCCTTATGTTTTCTTTTGGTTTAGAGATAGGGTCTCATTAACTTGGCCCAGGCTGGCCTTGAGCCTACAGTACTCCTGTTTTTGCCTTCCAAATAGTTGGAATTACAGGCATGCACCACCATGTTCAGTTTGCAGTAGTTCTTAATATACCATTCAGGTGATCCATTGCACCACTTGAGCCACAGCATCCACTTCGGGATCTTTGTAGTTAATTAGAGGTAACAGTCTTAAGCACTTCCTGCTAAGGATGGCTTTGAACTGCAATCCGCAGATCTCAGCTTCCTGGATAACTAGGATTGCAGGTATAAACTACTGGTGCCTGGAGCATACCAACTCTTGGGAAATACTGGGTAAGCGTTAACCTCAACTCCTGAGGCTTTTCAGGGAATGCAAGTCTTTTCCTAAAGGATTAGTATTCTTCATCTAAAACTTCAGATACTACATTTGCCTAATGCTTTTTGCTTACTAGTTCTAGTTTTTACCTCCTTCCTTGCCTTGTGTATGTTAAAATGGCCCATAACATCATGGCTGGGCTTGGCCATAGCTCAGTTTCTTGTGAGGAGAATGAGGGCCAAGAGGACAGAAAGAAATCCAATTACTCCGGGGATATAGTCATACCATGACACACTACCCCAACCTCTTAGGAAACCAGAGAAGTGGCAGAGCAATCAAAACCTCTTCAACTCCATCATTCTTCCAATGTGACTTTAAATCCCAGCTTATACCATGCTTCTCGCACAGAGGAGGGATTAGGCAAAGACTAACCTCAAGAGACAAAATGATCAACCAGAGATACAGAGATTTGATCTCTATCATGCTTACCTTTTATTTTCATCTCTTTGCAAGTATTTGGCATCTCGTCAACCAGACAGTCACTAATAAGTTACATTATTTGTGTACCAAGAAACGGTGCTCAGAGACACCCACTAAAGTAAGCAGGGTAACAGTTCAGGTCTCTTGAGGGCCCAGGGTCTAGTGGAGTTTGCCAGATGAACAGGGAAACACTTCAAAGTGCTAACTGCAGTGGAGTGAGGTTTGTGTGAACTTCACTGTGACCCCTGAGATGCAGGAGGGGATGAGACAAAGCTAGAACAAAGTGAAGAGGGCATCTGTACTCCGTTACCTTTGCTCCTCTGGCTCCTGGGGTTGGATGAATAAAAATCTTTGGGTCTCAAAGAGGGAAAAAAAATACTGATACCCACACACTAACAAATAATGCTACTGGAGATTCTAGAATGGAAATGAATAACAAATGTGCTCCCTGAACACAGAGTGCTCTGTAAGGTAAAGCAGCTAAGTCTGCATTATTTTTAACTAGATGCCCCAGATACTCTTTGGATGGCAAAACAAGAGCTGGGTTACAATCTGTAGAACTCTAGGTTGCTTTCCCATCCCAATATGGAGAAACTCTTCAAGTGAAAACTACATTGATGAGTTGGATTGATATTATTGTCCCTTATGAAGTTTCATAAAAAATAATCTTTAAAGATTTGTCCTTAATAGAGTTACTCTCTTCATAGTCCATTTATGGATTTGATAGTCTTTTTCCATTTATGGACAGTTGGTATGAGTAGATCACTTCTGCCTCAGTTAAAATACCTGCTCTACAAGGGAGTGCACCCCCATTTCTATGAACATCTGTTGGAAACTTAACATAGTAACCAAACCTGACAGAAACCACCCACCTAAGGCTTTGCAGAGGAGAGACAGACATCCTTCAGTGTTCTACCTTGGTGTTCTCCAACTACTCACCTGGAAAAGCGTATTTGGCCCTTGCAGCCTGGCGGGACTCAGCGGAGCAACTGGACTAAGGCTGCTCCAGAAATGTATGCTGGAAAGCAGCGGACTTGGTGTCAGAAGCAATCCATTTGGTGTCTGGGAAATAAAGCAAACACATAGTTCTTGATAGAGGTTTGTCTGACTCCATCCAGATGATCAACTGTAACCGAATCTTTAGGTATGCTCACCATGGACCAAGAAACCAGCAAACCCTTCTCACCAATGCTGGGCAACTTTATTGGTGCAATGCTGTGTGTGAGCAATCCAATTTTCTCCAATGCAAATATTAGCAGTTCACAAAGAGGTATATCAATAAGTTACTTTTCCTAAATGTTAGCAGAAAACTTAAAAGTTTACAGCAACATGTCTCAATGGCTTCTTCAGCTTGCTCCTCTCCTGGATTAAACAAAATTTAGTTTACAGAGAAAAGAGGATCCCAGGAAGGGGCTTTATTTCTCATCAAATAAGTCTTTCTTCAATGGACCTTGTTATGGGGTGTATTACAAACACACATTTTAAAATGGCCTCTCAAGCTTCACTTTCTATTACCCACAATCTTTTAAGGACTTAAGACTATTTTTTTTTTTTTGGGTCCGGTCGTGGGGCCTGAACTCTGGGCCTGGGCACTGTCCCTCAGCTCTTCAGCTCAAGGCTAGCGCTCTACCACTTGAGCCACAGCGCCACTTCCAGCTTTTTTCTTTTTGCTTATGTGGTGCTGAGGAATCGAACCCAGGGCCTCAGGCATGCAAGGCAAGCGCTCTACCACTGAGCCACCTTCCCAGCCCCGGACCTAAGACTATTAAAATATCCAGTAACCATTTCTTCAGAAGCTCTGAGCTGGGCTGTCCGTATTTCACACTGGATGTGGGGTTGGTGGGAAGTCCTCAAATGGTAAGGGGGCAGGGCTTCTTTCTTGACAGGGAGGGTAGAGAGCCAAAACTGGGTTTCTCAGACCAGTGCCAGGGCCTGCATTTGCCAGCACTCAGGCAGCAGGAGTCTTGGCCTACAAGCCAGCTGAAGGACAGAAGGGACAACCCGACTCGGCCAGTAAATGCATAGCTTTTATTCTCAGCAGAGGCAGGTCCCCTGGCCCAGCAGCCTTCACCTCATGATCGCACGGTCATTTTGGTCCTTTGTGCTAAGAAGCAGCACAGCATGAACACCAGCAGTGAAGATTGCATCATGCTAGATAAGAAAGAGTTACTTTTCATTGGGTTGGCTTCTGCGGCTTCATTAGTTGTCAAGAGCATTTGGGCTTCGACTAAACTCAAAGGTGTACTCTGTTCAGTGGAACAGACATAAAACACCTAAAGGTCGGCAAACTGGAGTGCTGAAAGGGAAACACATTTATGCAATATGACTTGAGTCTTTTGTTCCATGACATTTCCTACAAATGGGATGACCTGGAAGGGTCCTGAGATAAGGCATGTGTTAAAGAACCTTCCATGTGTTTTGCTCTAGGGAAATTTCAGTGTGCCAGGCCATCCGGCTGAACAATTCAGAATCAGCTGCTCAACCTGAGCTCTATTGGGCTCAGCCAAGCTCCGATCTCAGAACTGCTACTTACTAGCTAGTAGTTTATACTCTCTGCACTTCAAGCTCCTAGTCTGTTAAATGGGGACAAGAAAAATGCCTACACACCAGGGTTGCTGAAAAAGAGTAACAAAGACTGTCTACAGCTCTTAGTATATGACTAGCACACACCTGTGTGTGAAGAGAAATAGAGACTAAAATCACACTGAGTAATCTCTGATACATGGTTTTGAATAAGTGAAATTCATAATTAACTGGAACTATACCTGACATATTGTGTTTCATTTATTCATGGGAGAAATTCTCAACTGTGTACAGAAAAGTACTTAAATGTTCCCAAACAGATGGGCTCCACTGAGTCAGCTGTACTTTCTTAGTTATGTTGGGCTCAAGTCCTCAGGCTCAGGTCATCTGAAAACTATTTGCATGTTACTCTGCAGCTAGGTTCCAACCAGAATATGTCACATTCGCATTTAATAGCCAATGTGTTCAAGGTCCTCCTGGTTGAGCCATCAATGAAGGTTTCTCAAAAGTCTAAAGAGGACTTCGAAACCATAACACATTTGCCTTTCCCAAAGCCATAAGTATATACCTCTGGGCAATACATAAGATTTATATTTCCATAGTCTAAAATTTGGACACATGTCTGGACTTGAGATGGTTGTGCATTTGTTTCCAAGGGATACAGAATGTACTCGAAATACAGTGGCCTTCTGTTTCTCGTGGTTAATATGTTTGAAATGTCTCCGATAATACATGCACATAAACATTGTGAAATGATTTCATTCGCTCCTCTCCCTCCCATCCCCGTGCTTCCTGAGGCTTCTGTGGCCTTAAGAAAAGAACTCTTTGGTTAGTTTTAAAGAAAATTTCCTGTAAAACCTGCCCTGGGTTACCTCCTGTCTTGTGGCATCTCTGCATGAGTTCCTGTTTGGGGGGAGGGGTCGCTGCAGGGTGGACACAAGCAAAAGCCTAGCTTCCTTTTCTTCCATGTAAGAATGCTTCACTAATGGCTATCTTTACTTCTGATCCCCTGGAAAGAAACTCTAGGTGATGGACATTCCTTTGCATTGGGAACGATCCTCTAACTTGGACATCCTTTACTATGGTCCCTTCTCAGTCCTCTAAAAAACTCGCATGTGTGTGCTACACAAGGCGAGCTGGACTTGTCCACAGGTGCCTCCGCTTGTGTGCCCTTGTCTGCAATTCTTAACCTGGATCCTGCCCTCCAAAAACCCTCCTCTTTTCTAACTGCTGTCTTGGTCTTATCTGTCTAAATGCCACCTCCCTAAGGACACTCTCCTGATCTCTCCTCAGACAGATGGAATGTCTCCTTTTTGCTGCATCTTTAGAACACTGTGTAGCCACTTTCTCTCCCTCCTCCCCCCTCCCTGCTTCACATTTAACATGTTCTGCCTCAAATTATGGTAATTTGCATATTTTTCTGATACCTCTTTCTACTGCCTCAAAGAAATTTGCTCAGCTTCTCCTGGAGAATTAAATCCCTAAATACTTGATGAGCTGAAGGAATCTGCAACTCTAGGTGCATCTCAACTCCTCGCTTGCCACCTGTTGGACACCTCCACTTGGAACATCCCCGTGTTTTACCTCAAATTCATCTTTCACATCCTGTGCTTCTTAAGACTTTTCTGTTTCTGTTGACTGTACAACCAGGTGTGCATCTTCTCAGCAAATATGGAGAGTGCACATAAGTTCCAGTTGCCAGAAACAAGGATAAAACAAGAGACAGTCTCTGCACTCTGGCCCTGTTCACTGCTCAGCATCCTAAGATGTAAAATGGAGCCCTCTGGGAACTCATCCTCCTCTACATGTGCTCATTTCCATCCCTGTGGCATGCAAGCCCCAGTGGGCTTACAGACAGCATCTGACACATCCACCTAAACCAGTCCATGTGTCTCTGGTCTCCCCATCTACTCTACCACCTGAAAACATGATCCAATCAGATTCTTTCATAGTTCCAGGTAAAACAGAAAACAACAAAGATGGTGTCCTTAGCCACAGTTCTAGGTCCCCCAAGCTTATACTCCTTAATTTCCCCATGCGAACCTTCCTATTTCCTTGATGGGTTTAACAACAAGGCTTATGTACCACGTGGAATGAACAATAGAAGTCCAACCTATCCGTCTTTCAACTGGAACTTCCTGGAAGTTCCCTGAGCTCCCCAGCCTTTCATTCTGAGGCTTTCATTGCCTGTTGATGACTCCTGACCTTTGTCTCCAGCCCCTAGTTCTCTCCTGAGCTCCTGTTGCAGCTGGACATTTTCACTCCTGTGCACTAGAGATGCCTCGAACTCAGCCCAAACTGAACATGGAAACTTTTCTCCATGAGTTTACCCATACTCCTCAGAGTTAACTGGTTTCTCTTCCCACCTTTACTTATTTAATTTTTTGTCAGTCGTAGGGCTTGAACTCTGGGCCTGGGTGCACTCCCTGCGCTCTTCAGCTCAAGGTTAGCACTCTACCACTTGAGCCACAGCGCCACTTCTGGCTTTTTGTTTATGTGGTGCTGAGGAATTGAACCCAGGGCCTCATGCATAGGAGGCATGCCTTCTACTGCTGAGCCACCTTCCCAGCCCTCTTCCCACTTTGAAATGCATCACCAAGAACCCAGACCCATGTCCTGGGATGCTGTCCCATTGTTCACAGCCTTATGTTGCCATCTTTTGGCTGGATCTAGCTCCCCTCCTTCCCAGTCCATGCCATCAGGATGATATCTAGAGCAGAGTTCCAGTTACGTCATTTGTGCCCCCATGATGTTTCCCATGGCTCCATCTCCTATCACTTGCTTTACCTTGAGGATTTATGCTTTGTCTATGCTGTTCTCTGCCCACAATGCTCTCCTCATCCTGTCTGCCAGAACATTCTTACTGATCCTCTAACACCCAACCCAGGCACAATCACCAGCCGCACAATGCCTTCGCACCACTTGTGCGCCTCCATCAGAGTTAGTATCTTCTTCTGTATTCCTCTTAGGCCTTACTATTCCTGTTCACTGCATCTGAGACACTACTTCAAGCTACTTGCAAGCGAGCATCCATCTGCGATCAGCTTCAAGCACAGCTTACACATGCTGGGGCGGGCGGGGGGCTTAGCTCATGTGTTCTAAATTAATTAAATGATCTGCTTCTAAAGTGCTTCTCTGCATGACACATTTGACTCCTGTCATGCACTGTCCTGTGTGTGTGTATGAGACTTGTCATGGTTCAAGCCTAAGGTCATAAAAACAGCCACTGGTACTTCTGCTGTCCTTTCTACATTCATAAAACTTAACATTCAATAGTTCTTATTTGTTGGTTGATTCTAATAGGGCCTTTTTGCTTCACTTGTCCACTAGACACTGTTCATTTCCTATCAAGTCTACAGCTTTCAGGAAGTTTTTAGGGACCTTTATAATTCATACCACACTAAATTATATATTATAACCTGTAAGCTCATGAGAACAGAAACTGTCTGTCTTTGCTAACTTTTGTATCTCCAGCTAATTAGCAAAATGCCCAGGAGTTCAATGATTATCTCCCAAATGAACTGATTAAAAAGGATTAAGCACTTGTTATTGGATTAAGAAGCATTTGTTATTTGACTCATATGGATGAGCTGCTTAAGTATTTTCTAGCACATACCTATAATCCCAGCTACTCAGGAGGATGAGATCTGAGGATCACAATTCGAAGCCAGCCCGGGCAAAAAGTCCCCTTGAGACTCTTATCTCCAATTAACCACTCAATAACTGGAAGTAGAGATGTGACTCAAAGTGGTGAAGCACTAGCACTGAGCAAAAGAGCTCAGGGACAGTGCCCAGGCCCTGAGTTCAAGCCCCATGACCGAAAACAAAGGAAAAGAAATATTTTCTGACTACCTGACTGCATGGTCTGAGATACTGGTACATCTTCCAGGCTTTAGGAATACTAAAGGAAAAAAAATCATTGGTGTACAAACATCTCTAATCTTAGAATTCCTATGGATGCCAACAGATACCATAGCATGTTGGGGTTAATAATAATAATAATAGTAATAATAATAATAATAATGTGTATATGTATCAAACAAAGTGACTCTGAATCTCTAGAAACTCTTACCTCTTTTTTTTTTTGTTGTTGTTGTTGGTCATGGGGCCTGAAGTCTGGGCCTGGGCACTGTTCCTCAGCTCTTCACCTCAAGGCTAGCATTCTACCACTTGAGCCGCAGCGCCACTTCTGGTTTTTTCTGCTTATGTGGTGCTGAGGAATCGAACCCAGGGCCTCGTGCATGCAAGGCAAGCACTCTACCACTGAGCTACCTTCCCAGCCCTCTTAGAGTTACTTTGAATCTCTAGAAACTCAAGAGTTGTTTTGACTCAAATAAAAACATGGCTTGGATTTTAAGAGAGGACTAGAGGGCTGGGAATGTGGCTTAGTGGTAGAGTGTTCGCCTAGCATACATGAAGCCCTGGGTTTGATTCCTCAGTACCACATACACAGAAAAAGCCAGAAGTAGCACTCTGGCACAAATGGTGGAGTGCTGGCCTTGAGTAAAAGAAGCTCGGGGACAGTGCTCAGACCCTGAGTTCAAGCCCCAGGACTAGCAAAAGAACAACAACAACAACAAAGAGAGGACTATACTCCCGTGGCAGTTTGCAGAGCCCTGATCCGAAGGGAAAAGGGGGACACAATGAGCGCCAGCCAGGTAGGTACAGAGGTGTTGGGGGGAGAGCTGGGGACAAGGTGGTCAAACTGATTATGAGGAATCAACAGAGAACCCCAGAGCAGAGGTGTGTGTGGGGGGGTGCTACCACAGATCGTTTACCTGGGGCGACTTACAGCTGGGGAACCAAGAACCTCTGACTGGATACAATAAGATCAGAGGGCACCCCAGAGCCAGGATGGCAATAGGATGCCCCCTGAGAGCTGCTCACCAGACACATCATGCCGCTCCACACTCCCACTTTTTGACCTTGACTCACAACAGGAAGGAACCTTTAGCTGTCAGACCCTGTAGCCTGACTCCATTCCCCTCCCAGGCTGGCTCACCAAACGCCCCCGGGGCACACATACTCAGACTCTGAGGGGAACGCACGCCCACAGCCCATACGTATCTGAGTTCAGCATCTTGCCCAGCACAAGGGAGATGAACGCAGGTCTTGGCATTAGGAAGGGGAAATGAAATGTGCCAGCTTCCGATTCTGAATTAACTTCCCCTTGTTAAGGAACCAGGTGGAAGGGACTGAACAGAAAAGGCAAATGAAAGGAAGAAAGCCAAGGGACACCAAGGTATAAAAGACACAGAGAATCAGAAGTTCCAGCTGCCACCAGGGCTGCCACAGTGCCGGGATGAGGACCTGGACCCTCTCCTTCTGCCTCCATTTCAGACAGCAGCCATGCTTTCCAACAACAGTCAATGATCTCAAGGGCCATTACCTAGAAGACATCACTCCCTGGAACCAAGCCTACTTTTGTGTAAGTCTCTTCCGTTCCTCAGAGTCCCATGATGGACAGGTAGGCCTTCTCTTAGCCAGGACTCCGCTTCTGCTTCCCGCCCCTCCCTTGGAAAGCTTTGGTTCCAAGATTGGACTCATGGCACTGAGTTAACCAAGGCTCTACACTCACAGCTTGGTTGAGCAGACTTTGCTCCCAGCTGTTCTAGATACCAACCCTCCTTCCTCCTCCTAGTGGGTTCTGTGTCCTCTCAGGTCAAGGTCCCTCCTCTGGTTATCCCAGCCAAGCCTCCCTCACCCCACTGAGTGGGGCCACCTTTGAGTTCACAGTGTTCAGTAACAAAGCTGCAGAGTGAACCTGGACTCACTTCCTGAGCCAGACAGGGCTGGCTTCCAGGTGATACAGGCTCAGTAAGAACAGAGACACTGAAACAGGAGCTGATCTTGGCCTGGCCCTCTCAATCTTACAGCTGTAAACACAACAGGCCAGAGAAGGAGATGCTCTGATTGTCCACTCAGGCCGCTTCTGGATGCTTCCCTATGCAACTGAGTGAGCCCTGCTTCCGGGCCATTTGCACAGCGGTCCTTGCCGAGGGACGGTCTTGTTTTCTTAGGAAATGGACAATTTAGGAGCACACGTGCCCTTTCTCGCCTGTCACTAATGCCTGGACCTCCTCTATGTGACAGCACATGTAGTACAACCAACTCATGAATACGGGCTGTCCTGTCAGCCCTGAGAAGCCACTGAGAGGAAAGTGACAGAGTTGCTCCCAGTTGCTCTGCAGCCCCATGGTGACTGTTACGGAGAAGGAAGCAGGCCTCGTCCCCTGGGGATGGCAGAGGACACTGTAGTTCAGGGCATGGATTCTGAAGGCAGACAAGGGAGCTCAAATTCACTTCTACCTCACCCAGAGGCAGCTACCCACAATCCCATGCGTCAAGAGTCTAGCTAGGCAGGACCTGAATCCAGGTCAGTGACACCCTCTCACCCCAGCTGGTGCTGCTTAATGTCTGACACCTCTGTACTGCATCCAGTTATCCCGGGGGGAGGGGGGGCGGTGGGAATGTACCTTCCCACTGTGGCTGTCCACTGGAGTAGCCAGAGAACCAGCCAGATTTAAAGGACAAAGCTGCCCTCTCCTGAGTTAAGAGCACCGCCCCCCCCAGGCAGTGCCCTGCTCCCCGCGATACGGACCTGCTCATGCTCAGAACACGCTGCTCTGGCGAAGCCCACTCCTATCCCCTGTTCCATGAGGTTCCTGCACTGCTAAGAGAACAACCAGACAAGTACAGCTCGACACTGACCTGCACCAAGGCCAGGTCTGAAAGCAGGTATGTTCCTGTTAACAGGAAACTAGTGGCTGCTACATGTCCGCTCCCCCCCGCCCTCCCCCCCACCAAACTGTGCTAGGATTAGTTCATAAGGCCCAACAGGGTCCTGAAGTTCCAATCTGCCCTTTAAACTTGCAGTGGGGGAGAACTGCTGGTTGACCTGCGCTGCTTGGCTGGTGTGCACATTTCCTTTTGTTTTTTTCTTCTCTGGTTCTTTTTGAAACAAGATCTCCCTGTGTAGCCCAGGCTAACCTCCAACTTGGGATTCTCCTGCCTCAGCCTCCTTCCTGAGTGCTGGAATGACAGCTCTCCACCTCCACACCCAGCTTCAAGCGTTCTATCTCATCACTTCAGGTCATGAAAAGCAAGAAGCCCATCAAGCACCTTTTGGCCACCAGTATACCAAACCTTTCCTCACGAGTGGAATCCAACCTGAGGATGGAGAAAGAAGTACCTTCCCTTCCTGTTTGCATGGTGACTTTGGGGCCCTGGTCACAGGATTGTCCCTAGAGAGACAGAGGAAGGGACTTTGGTGGTTCTTTTTCCTTCAGCTGCAACCATGAGGCTGGGGGTGAATGGCTCTTACCTGTGCAGTGAAGAAGGCTGGGGTGAGGGACCCCGAGGGCAGGGCTGGGCTGTTGAGGGCGATGGAGCCAAGGTCGGTGCCCGAGAGCACCAGCGGGGGTGCGGAGATTTCCAAGCCTTTGGGTTTTTTGCCCTTTGGGGGAAGGGATGGAGACTTGGTCTTGGAGCCGGATGACAGGTTCAAGGGCTCCAGGGGATCCGAGTCATGGCAGGCGGCCTCTAGGAAGAGGCTTCTGTGTTCAGAAGGGAGGGGCGAGTTGGGGGACAGGGATGGGGACCGAGATGAGGAAGGCGATGCAGACGAAATGCTGGCGGCATTTGGCAACATTAAAGAGGAGATCTTGGCGGAGACCGAGGAAGCCAGGAAGGCGGAGGCGGCTGCAGCCTCAGACGTGGAGGGCAGGGACACAACTGGCCGGGTGACGTGCTTGTCAGCTTTGTTGGTCACAAACCTGATCACAGTCCTGACTTCCTCCACAGGGGGGCTGTCTTCCGATGGCTCCTCCAGCTTCTCGGTCTTGATGGCTTTGAAGGCCTCTGGGGGGTTCTGCAGGGAGTTGATGGTGAAGGAGGAGTACAGGCCTGAGTGGAGGTACTCGTTGCGGCTGGTGCTTTTGAGGGCGGACAAGCTGTGCTTGTGGATCTCCCGGCCCTCGGAGGGCCCCTTGCAGTGGCTGTCCTGCAGCAGCAGGCTCTCGCGGCTCGTCTCCACTGTGTGAGGATCCATCTTCAGGATCTCCGGGAAAGAGACGAACTTGTACACAAACTTCTGCCCAATCACCTTCTTGATGATATTCTGCAAATAAACCCAGAAGGAGATAGTTGAGATGCAGATGCCAGACACACTGGAGGGGGGGCGGGGGGGGGGCGTATATACATAGTCATAGCCATTTTTGGCCAGCAGTGGCACCAAAATATTCCCCAGGTATCTATCTCCATGATGTGGCTAAGGTGTGGAGGAAAGAGGAATGCAGTTTGAGGCTGAGGGCTGAGAGTTCATTCCAGTCATGCTACAGAGCAGGGGTGTAGTCTTTGGCAGCCTGCCATCTGTGGTTTCATTCTCGGCAGTTACCATTCCCCAGAAGACACTAACAGTCACCCAGGAGTAAGCACTTACTAATGTGGCAGCAATTATTCATACTGAACTCATATCATCAGAATAGTAATCTTACAAGACAGGTGGTGTCAGTCCCATCTTTAAAACTAGGAAATAAAGCTAGGAGGGGTGGAATCAGCCTGAGATTCCAGCTATACAGGCGGATGGGATGAGAGGACTGTAGTTTGAAGCCAGCCTAGACCCAACCCCTCCCCCGCCCCCCCAAAAGAAAACCATCTGGAAAAGAAAAGCAAGTCAGATATGGTGACACATGCCTATAATCCTAGCTATGCCAAAAAGCAAAAGTAGGAGGACCGCAGTTTAATGCCAGCCTTGGTGTAAACATGAAACCCTACCTGAAAACTAAAAGCAAAAAAGGCTAGGGGCGTGGCTTCAGTGGTAGGTAGCTTGTCAAGCAAGTATAAGGCCCTATCTTCAAGCTCTGATACTGCCAAAAACAGTCATAATAAAAGATTACAAGTGAAATAAAATGAGGAATAAGCTGAGAGCATGCACCATCCAGCCAGAGGGAAGGGATAAGGGAGCATTTCCGTAACCGTAACACAGTGCTGTCTTACCACCACTGGGACTTGCAAGGAGGCAACAGGCTAGTCATGGGAAAGCCCTCAGTAAGCTGGAAAGCATTACAGAGACAGACATAAGGGATCATCACCAAACGCCGCAGTATTTACTTAAGTCATGTGGCCAATTCTATCTTTTTCATTTTCTGCCAGGAAAGCCACAGGAGGAAAAACAACTTGTCTCCTTGGATATTTATGACACACTCGTCCTATTTTAAGTTGCCAGCATCTACTTCTGTCCTCATAGGAAAATAGGTGACTGATCATCACTAAGAAAGTTGTCGCAGTTCTTTGGAAGAAAGGTTTTCTATTCAAGGCTATACTGCTCTGGGGTTTCCTCCTGGTCCATGAATTCCCTGTAGAACCCACCAGATCCTGTGTGGACTCAGGGGATCCCAGGTGCTCAAGGGAGAAAAGATGGCCTCCTTCAGCATGAAGAACTAGCCTCCACCTTCTGTGGAGAAAGGACTCTGAATGTCTCTTCACCAGTGGATGCTTCTCAACTGGGTATGACAGAGGTAAGTACATGAGAAGCAGCTCCACTGTCACCTTTCTGTACCCGCCACCTGCGTGCCATCCCTCTCTTAGGCCCCACGCCCAGCTGTCTGGAGGCTGGGAGGGATCACAGACAGACATGGGAAGGGAGTCCTGTGCCCAGGAACCAGCAAGGTTTACTGATCTTAGATCACCACTGATCCCTCACAAAAACGACATTATATTTTGAGTCTCCTGTGTTAAGGGTTTTGGTTCTCCGTAGCAGTCCGATAGGGAAGGGCGCATTTGCCACGTCACTAAAGCTTTCAAGGAGGAGCTCCTCAGGGCGGGTCTCAAAGGAAGGGACACAGGGGTCGCCACTCTTCACCAGAAGTCCCACCCAGGTCCTAGTACCAGCACGCAGGAGACTCCCCATGCTGAGCAGTCCTGGTGGCCACCACCCTGGGACTTTTGGCCACTGGATTGCTGGTCCACTGACCTCATTCCCACACTCACACTGGCAAACTGTCAGAGAAATCTGGGAAACTGAAAAGTTCTACGTAGATTGGGTTGGCGGTGTCTCTGCAGAGGGCAGCACCAGGCCTGGGTAGAGAATGTGCCAGAGAAAATCAACTGCCAGCACGAAAAGGTTGAGTAAGGGTGTCACTGGACGCATCTGACCCAGAGTCATATCCATATACAGCAAGTGTGCTGTCCTGGAGTGCCGCTGCTTCCTCCTGGAATGCCAGGGCACTTTTATTTATAGTGCATAATATTTTCCCTCCCTAAGGAAAGACTTTCTTTTCCTTAGCCAATTTGAGTGTGTTTTTATGAGCCCCCAAAAATTACACAGAAGAAAGGGGAAAAAAGGAAATGATTATCTTGTTTGGCACGTCTTACAAATGAATTGGTTTATTAAAAAGAAAACACAAGTCGGGCACTGGTGGCTCATGCCTGTAATCCTAGCTACTCAGGAGACTGAGATCTGAGGATCGTGGTTCAAAGCCAGCCCAGACAGGACAGTCCCCATGAGACTCTTATCTCCAATTAACCCAGGGAAAACTGGAAGTGGTGCCATGGCTCAAGTGATAGAGTGCTTGCCTTGAGCTGAATTCCAAGCCCCACGACCAACAAAAAGAGAGAGAAAGAGACAGACAGACAGAGAGAGAGAGAGAAAGCAAGAAAGAAAGAAAGAAAAAAGAAAGAATGGAGGGAGGGAGGGAGGGAGGAAGGGAGGGAAGGAGGAAGGGAGGGGAGAGGAAAGAGAAAAGAAAAAACAACATATGGTGCCTCACACCTATTATCCCAGCTGCCTGGGAGGCTGACATCAGGAGGACCATGGTTCAAGGCTAGCTGGAGCAAAAAATTAGCAAGGTCTCATCTCAAGAGGCCTCTGATCCCAGCTAAATACAAAGGTGTTGGTAGGAGTATCATGCTCCAAAGGTCTTGCTGGCCCTGGGGAAAAGCATCCTTACTTACATAACTAAAACACAAAAGGGATGGGCAAGGCTCCTCTGGTAGAGTAGCTGACTAGGACAAACCCTGAGTTTAAAAAAAAAACAAACACAAAACTTTCCTTTTCTTACAGACTCATAACATAAAGAGGCACTGAATTTGGACGAGTCAATAACTAATTCAGAGCTGGGTAAAAATGATTTTAATAGGAACACTGGAAAGGGACCATCTCAGTAGCTGTCGCTGGGGTGGGCAGAGCACAGGGATAGGAGAGGATTTAGGCAGGTTCACCAGGAAGCTTGTGGGTGCGCTGCCTGAATGAGCTGGCCAGAGGAGGAAGTACGATCTGACTTCACAGCAGAGTCACCTAGGGCTAAAGGCTGAGAATGGAACTGGGCAGGCAGAGGGTAGGGTCGGCAGCGCAAGAGGTCAGAGGAATGCAGTCCAGCGTGTCTGGTGGCCCAGACATGCTGCAGCCTGGAATGGAGGAGGGACAGCGATGTGGGAAGAGCCCTCTGCAGTCTCCAAAAGGGAAGTACCCTTGCAAGTACCCAGTCTACAGAAGACAGACACAGTAATAACTGATAGAACTCGCTGGGCACATTGCATCTGGCCAAACTCTGCCCCGAGAACTGGACAAACAGCAATTCATTTAATCCTCTGGGAACCATGATGATTATTCCCATGTGAGACATGAGAAAACTGAGGCTCAGGAAGCATAAATCACATACAGTTCTGAGCCTGTACTGGAGAATGACAGATGGCACCGGGGTAGTCTGACCCCTCGGCTCTTGGCCACTATGGATGGTGACAGAAGTCAGCCTGGAAGGTTCAGAGGGGACTCTTATTTTGGTAAGTCATGAAGATATTTGGAAAAAGTCAGTTTTCACTGTTCAATCTCAGACCCCAGTATTTGTTGCTTTTAGTTGCCTGGTAACCTGGTAATGCTGCCTCATATCCAGTTGAGTCAGTGACTTTTGGACTGGTTTGGAGACAGTTGCACCCATCTGCCTCCCCTCCTAGGCCATCTCTTAACCAGAGCCCACTCCATGCATGCCAAGCACTGAGAGAGAGCTACAGGCAACAAGGAGAGGACCAACTTCAGAAAAAGGAGAAGCAAGGTCCTCATACACAGCGGCAGTGGCGCTTCCACACAGGAAGAGGAGACATGGAAAGGGATATGCTGTCATCACATCCGTGTTGTCTCGGTGACCAGGCGGAAGTTTGAGGTACAGAGGAGCTCTCAGGGGCAGAACAGCAGGGAAATGCTGAGTTGGCAGATCCTTCCAAACCAGCTCTCTTGCAAAAACAGGTGTGTGTCTGTGGATGTGTTCACACACACACACACACAGACACACACACACACACACTCCTCTTTGAAGAGGAAAGTGGAGCATGCATAAATAATCCCAGTACAGGGAAGGTTGTTCAAATCTTGTAAGTTACAATTCACCCTCCTGTATATTTTAAAATACTAAGTCAATCCATGTACATAGTTATTATACCCGATGATAAGTTAAAAAAAAGATTATGTTCAATACAAACATAATTCCTTTTTTTTCTTTTTTTTTTTTTGGGTCCGGTCATGGGCCTGAACTCTGAACCTGGGCGCTGTCCCTCAGCTCTTCAGCTCAAGGCTAGCGCTCTACCACTTGAGCCCACAGTGCCACTTCCGGCTTTTTTTTTTTTTTCTGCTGATGTGGTGCTGAGGAATCGAACCCAGGGCCTCAGGCATGCAAAGCAAGCACTCTACCACTGAGCCACCTTCTCAGCCCCCATAATTCCTTTTTTGTCAGTCATGGGGCTTGAACTCTGGGCCTGGGCGCTGTCCCTGAGCTCTTCAGCTCAAGGCTAGTGCTCTACCTTTTGAGCCACAGCTCTACTTCTGGTTTCCTGGTGGTTAATTGGAGATAAGAGTCTCATGGACTCGGCCTTTCTGAACTGGCTTTGAACTATGATCCTCAGATCTTAGCCTCCTGATTAGCTAGGATTACAGACAGGCATGAGCCACCAGCACCTGGCCATAATTCCTTTTTCAAAGGAATTCTCTTCCATCCTGGGCCTGTGGAAACCTCAAAGGTAAAATTGGAAAATGGAATGGCCACGTGTAGAGGGTAGATGAGACATACTCCTATTACGTTTTGTAATATGAACTATATTCAATGCTAAGTAATAAAAAGACATGTGAGC